GTGAACAGAAAAGGCCCCTGGGTAAGATTGAAGAATTCCCTGTAACTGTAAGAGGAAAAACTATAATGTCTCGAGCTGTTGTGACCGATGCTGGAAACTACGCCGTGATAGTGGAAAACGATTGGATGAAGAAGGCCCGGGCACGTTTAGATTGGAAGTCTTGTGAGTTAATGATACGAGATAGTAATAAGAAGATAAAAGTTCTGACGGAATATTGTAAACCAACCCACATTCAGGATCGAATCCCTTCAGAAGAAAAAAAAAGAAAAAAGGAAGCCGATGAGGAAGATGGAGGTTCTGAGGATGATGTTAGTAGTAGCAATGGTGATAGTGATAAATCGGAGGTTGTCAACAAGGATGAGTATGACGAAGAAGAAGGGTTGGTGAGTCAAATGTACTTGTATTTCAGGTTTTATCCCATTAAGAAGAAAACTGATGCCCGGTGCGAGTTGTGCTTAAGGAAAGGACACTATAAATCAGAGTGCATATGGAATGAAGTTGTGGACCGGAAGGCAAAACCCCATATAGAGGAAAGGAAGACAGACGACTTCAAGTTAGAAGATATGACTCCTAAACAGCACGATTAAATGAAATGAATATTAAGTCGGTATGAGGACATCTTCACTCGAAAACCCGACCAGCTAGGTAGGACGTCTGTTGTGCAACATGAAATTTATACCAAGGAAGGCCCCCCTGTAAAGCAACGGTTTTACCCCATGTCCAAGGTGAAGCATGAGTTTATTGGCCAAGAAATAAAGAGAATAGAGGAAGCCGGGTTAATTCGTCCATCGTGCAGTCTGTGGGCATCCACTGTCGTATTGGTCAAGAAGAAAAACGGGAAGATGAGGCTGTGTGTTGACTTTAGGAAGCTGAATCAATAAACGAAACGTGATAGCTACACCCTCTCTAGAATTAATGAGTTATTAGGAGCTCTCAAGAACTTGACCTAGTATACAACCCTGGATCTTGCCAGTGAATTCTTGCAGGTCGGAGTTCATCCACGTAATTGCGAAAAGACAGCCTTTACTACCAAATTCGGGCTATACGAATTTGTAGTGATGCCTTTCGGCCTAACAAATGCTCTCACCACTTTTCAGTGATTAATGGATCACGTACTCCAAAAGAAGATGTGGAATTTTGTTCTGGCCTATATAGATGATGTTAACATCTACTTCTCCAGTTTCGAAAAACACTTGAGCCATGTGGACGTCATTCTTAGTAAGCTGTGCCAGGCGAATCTAAAGTTGAACCCGGACAAGTGCTATTTTGGACAAGACTGAATAGAGTTTCTGGGGCATGAAATTTCTGGCAAAGGTATAACCCCAACTACAACAAAAGTAGCTGCTGTGAGTAACTTCTCCAGACCCAAGAACCTTCGTGCATTAAGAGGGTTTCTAGATTTGGCTGGCTTCTATCGTTGCTTCATTAGAGATTTCTCAGGTATAGCTACGCCCCTCTACAAACTATTGAATACAGGAGAAAATTTTACCTGGAAGGAGCAGCAACAAGAAGTGTTTGACAAGTTGAAGAATAGGCTCACTTCACCCCCATCCTCACTTACCCTCTAGACGATGTTAGATTTGTTTTGTATACAGATGCATCGCACTTGCTCTTGGTGCTGTTTTATCTCAGCCTGGCAATAACGGGCTTGAAGGTGTTGTGGAGTACGCCAGTCAATCAACAAAGCCTGCTGAGCAAAATTACATAATAACTGAATTAGAGTGTACCACTATTGTTTGGGCCATGAAGAAGTTTCACCAATACCTCCACAGATCCCAATTTACAATAGTGACTGATCATACGGCTTTGACCTACCTCAACAATATGGCTAACCCCACCAGTAGGATGGCGAGATATATCATGACCCTCCAAGACTATGATTAAGTAGTAAAGTACCGACCTAGGAGGCAATTGGGGAATGTCGACGGGCTATCATGGATAGAAGAGTCTGAGTGAAATAAAAAAAAAAAAAAAAAAAAAATTATAATAATAATATATAATAATAATTAATAATATATATATATGTGTAGAGGAGTGTGGTGACCTAGTGAAGTGGATAGGTTGTCAACCCCCAAGTGGCAGGTCTAGAGTTCAAATCCCAGTGACAGCAAAAA